CTTAAGGACCAGAGTTTGGGCTCCCAGTGACCAAAAAAATCCTGAGCAGGCATCAGGGCCTGTCTGTAACCTCAATGCTTAGGAGACAGAGATAAATGATTCCCCAAAGCAGGCTGGCTACCTCGACTATCCAGATCAGGCATCTCCATGTTCATGTGACAGACCCTGCCTCACTGTGTAAGGTAGAGAGTGATCCAAAAATGTATGCCATTCTCTGTTCGTCTTATTTTTTTCAGAAGGTTATTGGGATCCCCTTCAATTTGTCATCCTCCTGTCTCAGACTCTCGAGTGTTGAGACTACAGGCTTTGCCTCTCTACCTGACAGAGGGGGCTTTATAGGGAAGGGAATATGTGGGGCTAGAGAGGTGGCCCAGTGGTTAAAGTCACGGGCTGCTCTTCAGATGTCCTGAGCACATGATGGCTCACAACCATCTATAATGAAATCTGGTGCCTGATTTTGGCATGCAGGCAAACATGCAGCTAGAACACTCATATACATAAATAAATAAACCTTTAAAAAGGGGGGGGGATAGAGCTGAGCTTGGTGGTTTGAATAAAAATGGCCCTCATAGGTCATATACTTAAATACTTGGTCCCCAGTATTTGAGAAGGATTAAGAGGTGTAGCCTAAGAGGAGAATGTGTTTCTGAGGTTTCCAAAGTCTGCATTTTCTAAGTCAGTTCTCTCTCTTCTTCCTGCCTTTAGATCAGGATGTAAGCTCCCTGCTCCTGTGCCATGACATGCCTGGCTGCCTGCTGCCATGCTCCCTGCTGTGATGGCCAAGCAGTCACCCTCTGAAACAGGAAGCCCCTAATAAACTCTTTTATAAATTGCCTTGGTTATCTTTTTTTGTCTTAACAATTGAAAAGTAACTGAGACACTGGGCATGGTGGCTCATGCCTGTAAATCCAGCATCAGGAGGCTGAGGCAAGAGGATTGCTACAAATTTGAAGCCAGCCAGCAATACATTGAGACTCTGTGTAAAAACTCAAATAAACTGGCATTGTAGCTCATTCCTTTCATCTCAGCAGTCAGGAAGGAGAGGTAGGCAGATTTCTGTGGGCTCCAGTCCAGAAATGGCTACATTTTGACACTGTACCTCAATATAAATAAATACATAAATAAGTAAGAAATTTTTGATACCTGTAATGGTTAATCTTAGGTCGTCAATGTTACTGAATCAGGATTCAACTAAGAGACAAGTCCCTGGGGATACCTGGAAGGGAATTCTTTTGTTTGTTCTGCTTTTAGATAAACTGAAGTGGGAAAAGTTACCCTTGCGATGTGAAAGGTATCTTTACATGATTGCCCAGGTCTAAGGAAATCAGAGAGAATAGTTCTTGTCTTTTTGACTTCATGTCTCCCTGGAAAATTCATTTACACTGTTATTGCTGCTGTTTCTGTTCTTTGCTTACACAAGAACCTGGTTTCTTTAGTCTTCCAGCATGGACTGAAGGCCAGTGGTTCTCCAGGAATCATTTGGGTCTTGGTGGCTTAGGATTGCTCAGAAAGCCAACCTCGTGCATCAAGCAGCTACTGTTTCTTAGCCTCTTCAAAATGAAGACAGACATTGCTGAGTTACAGTGCAAATCAACCTAATACATCTTCTCAATTTTCTCATTTCTGTCTCTCTTTTTAGTTCTGTGAGACAGAGTCTCACCGTGTCTGTCTTGAAACTCACCGTGCAAACCAGGCTGGACTAGAACTCACAGGCCTGCTTCCGCCTCCTGAGTGCTGGCATTAAAGGCATGTGCCATTATACCCGACTAAATTTCCCTTTTGGTTGCTTTTTTTTTTTTTTTTTTTTTTTTTTGCTTTTTCTAGACAGGATTTCTCTGTGTAACAGCTCTGGCTGTTCTGGAACTCGATTTATGGGCCAGACTAGCCTTGAACTCACAGAGATCTGTCTGTCTCTGTCTCCCAAGTGCTGGGACTAAAGGTGTATGCTACCACACAGCCTAAATCTCCTTTTTTAAAACATATGCATATCTGGGTAGTGGTGGTGGCACATGCCTTTAATACCAGCATTCTGTAGGCTGAGGAGGTGGATCATTGAAGTTGAGGTCAACCAGATTTCGAGAGCTAGTTCTAGGATAGCCAGGGCTGTGCAAAGAAGCCCCGAAAAAAAATTATGTGTGTGTGTGTGTTATCTTCATGTATGTCTGTGTACTACATACATGACTGGTGATGGATGAGGCTAGAAGAAGTCTTTGAAGACCTTGGGACAGAAGTTAGAGGCCATTGTGGGCGCTGGAAATCAAACCTGGGTTCTCTTTTTTCTTTTTTCTTTTCTTTCTTTCTTTCTTTCTTTCTTTTTTTTGGTTTTTTGAGACAGGATTTTTCTGTAGCTTTGGAGACTGTCCTGGGACTAGCTCTTGTACACCAGGCTGGCCTCGAACTCACAGAGATTCGCCTGCCTCTGCCTCCCAAGTGCTGGGATTAAAGGCATGCGCCATTGCCGCCTGGCGAAACCTGCGTTCTCTAGAAGAGCAACTAGTGCTCTTATTTTCCCAAACTGAAATTCTGTATCCAACAAGAACTAACTCTCCATCATTCCTTTCTATATGCCCTAGCAAGAACTTCTCTATCTTGTGCTTCCAGAAATTAGACCAATCCAGATACCATTATGTTGCAATTTCTTCTGAAATGAAACTTTTCTTTCTGGAGGAAGCTTATTAACACTGTGGAAGTAAAGCCGCCGTGTGGTGGCGCACACAATCTCCGCAGAGGAAGGAGGATCTCTGTGAGTTTCGAGGCTACAGCCTGGGCTGCAGAGTTAGTCCCAGGACAAGCAAGGCTTTAAGACTGCACAGAGAAACCCTGTTTCACCGTGGATACAGAAATGAACTTTGTGCCTCATGCCTGTGGATCATTTGGAGGATATCTTGCTCTCCACAAAATATAACTGATGGACACACACTAAGATAATGCATGCCCTTCTCTGTCCTATTCTCATTCTAGGGTTCCCATCTGTGGCCATCAGGACTCCTGGGAGCATGAATTCATGAGGGGCTTTCAGTGTTAAACATGTTCATGCTGAAATTCCATTTTTATTCTTCTAACAGTTTCTGCCATGTACTCATGCATGAGTATGTGGTTATGTGTGTGTCCAGGCATGTAGAAGCCAGAGTTCAAGGTTGGATGTCTTCCTTTACACCTTACCACCTTATTTTTTGAGACAGGGTCTCTCACTAAACTCAGAGTTCACCAGTTTGGCAGGACTAGCTGGCTAGCAAACTCCAGGGTTTTTGTATCCTTGTACTCTTCAGTGTTTGAGTCACGTGTGCTACCATTTTTTTTTTTCCGGGGGGGGACGTGGAATCAACTTGGGCCTCATGCTTGTGTGGTGACAACCACTTTTCCAACTGGGCCACCTCTCTAGGTCTTTAGTAACTCCTTTGAGTTATCCACAATTCTTTCCTTTTCATTCATCAAAGTTTTTGAGTCTCTATCACTCAAGTTGATCTCAAGCTTGAGATCTCCCCGGCCTCCATCCCTTCTGGGTCATAGGATAGATGATGAACTGGTAATGGTATATCAAGTGGTCGCTATGTATCAGGCGCAGTGGTATTACTACCCGTCCCTCATCCTGTGATGGGGACAGAGCCCAAGTTAGTTTGTGCAAGCTAGCTTCATGCTCTACCACTTAGCCATAGAATAAAATAGGCCTGATTATAAAACTCACTTAGACTTACAATTTGTCTATGTCATATAGTTTCTAAATTGTAACGCCAGACTTTCAGCCTAATTCTTTCTGAATTCACTGTCCCTACTTTTATCTGCTAATCTCTGTTGTATCCTGGGTCCCCCAACTGACAATAGACAACTTCTTTTTCATAAATGTTTTCCTCTTTTTTTCAGTGCTAGGGTAGGTTGATCTCAAGATCACACCTATCCGACAACTGCTCTACCACAAGGTTATATTCTCAACCCAATGACCACACTTTTCTTTCTTTCTTTTTATTTATTTATTTTTTTCTTTTGGGTGTCTCTATGTAGCCCTGGCTTTCCTGGAACTCTGTATAGACTAAGCTAACCTTTAACTTCCAGATATATACCTTCTTCCATTTTCCCAGTGCCGGAATAAAGGCATGTGACATCATGCCTGGCTATCACAGTCTTAATCTACACATGAAACCCCATAATTGATTAAATCTCCCTTGATTACATTAGATATAATTCCACTTTTAAAAAGATGCATGAGTATTTTGTCTACATGTGTGTATGTGGATGACATACATGCCTGGTGCCCTTGGAGGTCAGAGGGCATAGGGTACCTTCAAACTGGAGTTATATAGATGGTTGTAAGTTGCCATGTGGATGCTGGGAGTCAAACTTGGGTCTGCTGGGAGAGCAGTCAATGCTCTTAACCACTCAGTGAGCTTTCCAGCTCTCCCAATCCCACTTTCTCTTTTTTTCTTGAGTCCTGGTCTTTCTATGTAGCCCAGGCTGTCTTGGAAATCACTATGTGGAGCAGGCTGGCCTCAAACTCACAGATCCCCTTGCCTCCTCCTCCCAGGTGCTGGAGCTAAGGGCATGAGCCACCACACTTGTCCCACTTTTGATGTGGTAGAGGTTAATCTTAAAGTCTTATTCTTGTCCTGCCTTCATGTACACCTCTGCGCCCCCATTCACCAAGTGCTGGGGTTACAGGTGTGTAGAAATCATGTCCAGTCTTTGTGATGCTGGAGACCGAACCGAGGGTGGCACAGGCTAGGAGAGCACTCTGCCCTCTGAGCCACATCCCCAGCCTCTGTTTGAAGGAGGTACTTCGTGAGCCACTTGTGGTAACCTACCCATTGTCATTATAGCACTCAGGGCTGTAACAGGAGGACTGCATGTTCAAAGCTAGCCTGGGCATCTAATGAGGTAGATAGATGTCTCAAAGTGAAAATCAAAAACGTTGACTGGAGGATTGGGTAGTAGCTCAGCAGCAGAATACTCGCTTAGTTGAGCCAAGCCCTTGCTTCAGTTCTTATGTTTTGTGTTTTTCTTCCCAGTGTTTGCCTGAAGGAGGTCTGAAGATCACAAGCCAGAATCCATTAGTGACTCCACAGTATCAGTAGGTCATTTTCCAGTATTGGTTGGTTCTCTTAGTCTACCGCATGGCTCCTGGGGAAGGACATCTGGTCTTTAGACTTGGTGGCAGTCATCTTATACAGCTGAGCTACCTCACCAGGTTAATTCTTATCTCTCTCTCCTCCTCTCTTTTTCTTCTAGAAAGTGTTCTTCTGTGTAGCCCTGGCTGACCTGGAACTTGCTCTGTAGACCAAGCTGATCTGGAATGCAGAGACCCACCTGCCTGCCTTCACCTCCTGAGTGCTGGGATTAAAAGTATGCATACCCCCGCCCCCAGCTAATTCTAGTTTCTCAAACCATTTATTTTCTTAGAAGTCAAACAGCAAAAACTAAGGAAACCCAGATAAATGACAAGACAGGATAAAATGTGAAATATGAGAAAATATGACCTGATGTGTGGAAACAAACTGCTAAGTCTGAGCTTCGGGTTGGATTCTCAGAACCTATGCTGCAGAAGGAGAGAACCGACCTCCCCAGAAGGTCCTGATTGCCTCAACGTAGGCCATGGACATATACGTTCACACATTTACAGAGACACACCAAATAAATGGAGTTAAAAAAAAAAAAACAAATCTGAGAAAAAAATTTATTTTCCTGGCAGTGCTGGCGACTGAATGTAAGGCCCCAGGAATAGTAGGCAAGCTCACTATCCATCCAGATGGTAATGGCTTGAAGATTTCCCTCAGAGTCACTTAGGACCTCGGCAGGCTCCCTTGCTTTCAGGATGCCCAACAGAGAAATCCTAATTCGAGGAACCTAAAAGCACGCTCCCTGCTTTCAGCTGCAAAATTCGGCTGCCCTACACACTGGACTCCACGGGAGCAATTCCTCACTTCTTTTCTGGGCGGCCGGAAACGAACGAGCAATCTCCACTTACATGAGTGTCACATTATCTTTAGCACTTAGTATTTTTTTTTTTTTGCCTTCTTCAATATTTACATTATATTTAAGGCACTACAGAACATGGTCTTTTATTGAGCTCATCTGTTAGAGAAGGTTGGAAATACCCCCAAAGGATCTTGGAAGTTTCAGGCAGATTCAGAAAAATAGTTCTCAAGTCTTTTTTGAGAGTGGTACCTGGTAAAGATGTGTAGACACGTGAAGGGCAAAATCATACGGAATCTAGCTCTGGATGGCTTTATCCTGTTGTGGTTCCCCCCGTTTTTGTAATTATCAATATTTTCGTAGCCCAGATTTTATTTTCCCTCTGGAATCAGATATTTCAGACAAGATGGAAAGAACTCGCAGTGTCACTTTGGGAAATGAACAACCGCTCCTTTCGAAAAGGTGACGAAGGGGATGCAAAGTGTCTCTAACCCGAAACATAGCAGGTGCCTGGTGGACTTAATGGGGTTCTAACATCAACCCGCGAGGGCAAAACTCGGGCGCTCCGACCGTCCCTTTGCTCGTTCGCGGAGCAGCGCCTGAGCTCCCACAGCCTTCTGCGCAGAGACCCAGCCCAGGCACCTTCTCCCGTAAATGTCTACCGACTGAAAATACGTTCTAAGTCCACCCTTCCGACTCCCCCTCCTTCAAGACCTCCCCTTTAAAGGGAGCCACCGAGTGACGCCGGGGGAGTTTGCGGAAGCGTCTACCGCGTTGGGCCCTTGGGCGGATCCCGTGATTGGAGTCGGCACCGCCCCCGGCACCGCTTCCCCCATTGTGTGAGCTGCTAGATCGAGGCCCCGCCCCCGCCCCGCCCCGGAGGCCCGGCTCCGCCCCTCTTTGCCTCACCCGCCCCCCCCCATCTTGGCTCATTTCCGGCCGCCGCTGCTACCGCTATCCTGTAAGGAGGATTCGGCAGAGGCAAGAAACAACAGCCGCCATCTTGTTTGTGTGCTAGGTTGGGGGGGAAGAGAGAGTGAGAGGGACCGGGCGTACAAGCGGGATGCCCGGCTGAGTGCGAACTGTGGGAGCAGGGACCGCGGAGGGGACCGGGCCGGAGAGCAGCGGCCGCGGTCGAGACATTGGCAGGGGGCCCGGGGCGCACAGCTGAGGCGACCCCCAGCCCCCTTCTGCCCGCACACACCCCCACCGCGGCCGGGGCCGGCGTCGACGCCTAAGGGGGAGACCATTACAT